CAGTGTTTCCAAGTTACCGGTGCGGACAACGTTGCAATCTTGGCCGAATCCCGAATCATCCTGGTCGCGCATACATGTAGATTTTGTAGTACCAGTTGAGGGGACTTACTTTCTCATACTTGTTGACGCATACAATAAGTGGCCTGAAGTTATCGTAATGCGAAACACATACGCAAACAGCATGATCCTTGCGCTGAAGCGTTTTCAGTCAGTACGGTCTGCCGGAAACAATCGTATCGGATAACATATCATAGTTCACATCCTATCAATTCGCTGAGTTTTACGCACACAATGGAATCCAACACATGAGGACCACACCGTATCATCCCCAATCAAATGGGCAAGCAGAAAGGTATGTCGACACCACAAAACGTGCATTGTTAAAATCGAAAGGCGAGGGAACGCTGGATGAAAGATTGGAAATATTTTCGTTGAATTATGGTGTAACTCAGAATCCCAATGCACCAGACGGGAAGTCGTCCGCTGAAGCCCACATGGGTCGACGATTGAGAACCACCCTAGATCTGATGGCTCCAAAACGCCCATCAATACGTCGTACGAATTCGGATATGGAAGCCCAGTACAACAGACGGTACGGAACACGGCGCAGAACTTTCAGAGTTGGAAACGCAGTGTTTGCTGCGTCTCATCGAGGGCGTCGAACAAGCTGGATACCAGGTCAAGTCATGGGACGACGTGGCAAAGTAATGTACGATGTTCGCGTTGGGAGGCAAGTATGGGTTCGTCATGCCAATCAACTGCGACCGGGGTTTGCAAGGATTCCAGAGACACGCGACCACAAAGGACTTGATTTCAATGAATTAGTACGCAATTTGCACCCAAGCACCTCGATCGGACAGGATACGCAACACGTGGAATGGACTGAAAGTGAACACTGACTAAGGCGAAGGCGGGTAAGAAGATGCGTGGAATCCTTGTAGGTCGATCTCCGAAGAGAGACCTATACAACTACCGGCCTGCTCCGGGGAAAATTGCGCTGTCTGAGAATCAAGTCGAGTTGGCGTCACTGATACAAGCCAAATATTCTAACTTGCATGGAAAAACAGAATTTCACACTCGAACTCGAGTAGAGATGAAAACGTGAATAACTGTGGGATCAGAGGCAAGTTGAACTCTGAACTTGAACCGTGTGAGTTGTGTTAAGTAGCATTAATTAGCATTTGCAATATCGTTGTGTTAGTAGTTGCGCTATGCTCTCTCTCTCTCTCTCAGTCCAGCAGATCTTGGCGTTCTCATTTTGTTGCGGGGTGAACCGGTTGGAAACGGCACAATAGTTTCGGGCAGGCTATTCGTACAGTCAGTGGAAACTACAACAGGTTATGCCCCCAACTGCAATTTTGACGCTGCCAAGAACATCTACCAAGAACTGAACACATTGTTTCGCAGTGCTACCAGTTCAGATGTCGCTGCTGTTACAGGGAATATGAATGCGCAATTAGGTCGCCTGGGCTTTTCAGAATCTTAGTTAGGTGGTCAGTATGGACTTAATTCCAGACGGATAAAGACGAGCGGCTATAGCAACTGCGCGCTGAGCACCGCTGGTAGACACAGTGGACGCCGAAGTGCCACTTGGCATCTATCTTTAGCTGGCCAGCGATTGGCCCAAATGACTCAAATTAACAGACGTTATAAGTGGCGTGGTTTCATGCTAGACCATCACTTGTTCTGGATTACCTGTGTCAACTCCGATTATGCTTCCGTACTCTATCATACTTCGATGAACTTTGCCGGGAGACGTACCAAGCGCCTCTCCCGTTTGACAAAGTAGAAGCTATCTCAGTCCTCGGTCAGACAGCCCACAAGGATACCTTGTGGACCGAACTTTCGCTATCTCGCGCTAATGACAAGGAGCTTCAGTAAAATAGAATCTCGGAATTCATGCACGATGCCAGAGCCTCTAGTTGCGGCGCTAGCAACCGCCATCGCGCCAGTCACTGAATATCCGAGAGTTCAGTGGACATGCTGGAATGCAGAAGAAAAACTCCCGGCGGGCTCTGAACACAATGAAACTAGACGGACTCTTAAGCGTGAACAAAGGTGGAGCCTGCGTGCTGACAAGGAAGCTTGGTGGACAAGTGGGGCTCAAGATTTTGAGGAGGGTGGAGCCGTAGACAATTATCGCAAGCTCCCCCAAATGATCCGCACCATTGGTACCAGGAAACCATGCATCAGTGAGACAGTCAGATACAATGCGGGTGCGATAATTCACAAAAAAGAACGCCGTATGGTTTGTTTGATAGAACACTTTCGAGGTTAGTACAGTTGGCCGCCTGAATCCGGACTGCTTCCTACCTAGGTGATGCAGGCGGAGATATGGATGATTAGCTCCATCGGAGGCTGGGATTCGAAACGCGATCGCGGCCCTTAAACATTTTTGTGCTGCCTGAATAAATTCCTTCGCACATGTACTACTTAAGGATTGTGGTGAGGTCCTGTGCAAAGCACTGAACTTCGTGTTCGAACAGGGTTGGAAGATGTCATCTAACTAACTAGAGTGAATCGTGGCAATGTACAAGGGCATTCGCACCGACTGCACAAATCACACGGGCATTAGCCTAATATCAGTGTTTAAAAAAATACTGGCCTTGATTCTCGTTCGTCGCCTTACTGTGGAACAGTTATCCCGGATTAGGGAAGAGTAAGCAGGTTACACTAAGGAGGAGCTGCGTGTATATTCACCCTACGGCAGGTGCTAGAACAGCGCCACACATACTGCGGACTGACAACAGCTGTGTTCCTCGACCTCAAAAGTGCGTTCGACTCAGTGGATCGATTCATTCTACTCGAGAAAGTTGCGCGGAAAGGTGCTTGCATGAAATATGTGAACATTTTACGTGCCCTGCACTCGAACACCACAAATCTTAACAAGGTCTACGGTGAATTGTAGGATGTCTTTCCGACAACAAGTGGCATTGGTCATGGTTGCCAAATTTCCCTTGAGGAATTTGAAGATGCAAGCCTTGAGATGCTACCTGGTGAAAAGCTAGTCGATATTAATCATGCGAACAAACTTGTCTCGATTTTATCAAGGTTGAGGTAGCCTAATTAACTCACCGATTGGCATGCGCTTTCCACCTTCAAAGTGCAGTGTTGTTGCAGGACCACCAGCCAAATGATGAGTCACTGAACCTTGATAGCGGGGAAATCCAGGTAGATGATAGACTCACTTACCTTCGCTGCTGTATAAGTAATGACGGGCACTTAACCACAGAAGTCAGTTCACGTTTTGCAAAAGCTAAAACGGTCCTATTGAATCTGCTACATATGTAGCCTTAGAAGGGGTTTCCTTCGGTCTGAAAGATCGTGTTTACAAGGCCACAGTGAAGGCCATCCCACTCTATGGGAGTGAGACTTAACTCCTTCTGTCCGGGAACCTGAAGCGTCTACAAGTTCTTGATCACTGCTACCTGCGAAGCATCGCTGGCATCTGACGGCACCAGTGTGTCCGCCTCGGTTTCAATCGGGAGAAACCGAGTAAGACATGGTGGATAGGTTTCATTTTGGTCGCAACGTTTGCGAAAATGGGGAAATGAGGGAGGTAGGCGAGGAGAACACAAGGGATAGCTTCCCGAAAATTATCACAAGTTCATAGGACGAAAACATATACTTCAGATAAGAATCTATCCGAAATGCTTCTCTAAGAGAAAATGTCAAACACATGTGGGCAGTAAAGGAAAATGGATATTTAATCGAAGAAAATCGGACATGATAGACTACTTACGGATGCGAAGCGCTCTAAGCATGTGCGAGGTGCAAAAGTATGAGTAGTGTAATCACTGAGGTGGACTAAGTCGACCAGCTGAATCAAAGTAAGTCTTGAAAGTTAGGAAGACCTCATGATAGACAGTAGGTACAATACTGTGGAAGCACAGTGCAAAGTGAGGATGGTCAACCCATTGCTTACCAAAGGAAAAGTCAGTCTAACTTTCGCCAGTTCAGCCGTCAAACGGATCAGTGAAATGCCAGAGTAGGATGGAGTAGTCTGAAGGCAATGGAAACAAAACTAACACCAGGATGGCAATCATAAGCTCACTTTTGGCCTGTTTACAGATCGGGACGACAGTTGATAACTGTTATTTGGGGTAGCTTTACCAGTTAGCAACGAGTAGCCACAATTCCACAGCAGCGACGGAGACATAAGGGCAAAGTAAGGCAGCAGCAGTTAGGCGGCAAGTGATACCGACGCTTTACTAACACACGATTGCCACTAATCGCGTGCGGTTAATGAATAAGGCTAGGAACACCAGCACAAATGCAGGATCGGACAATTGACTTGCGGAGTACAACCCATACGTCTAAAACAATCGGTCACTGGCCGTTGCAGTAGTACCAAATCGCGTTAGATGCAAAAGATGGTGACAAATCTGACTTCAATGCTCCAGGCGGGTTCAAGTGACACAATCATTAATCCTGACAGGGAGTCGGTTTAAGTGCACTTCAGTGTTCAGCTCAACCGCACAAGTGTATGTCGACAAGTGAAGCGATTGGCCAACATTATAGTAGAGCAAAGGAAGACTTACTTGAGGGATTCCATCCGACTAAGAAGTGACTCAAAGTGCAGTGCGAGAGGAAACTCTATCAAAAAGGTGACTGCAGATCCCAAGACAAGCTATGTACTTCTTGGTCACATCATGTGAGACGTGTGCGAGGACGGTCAACTGCAAGTTTACACCGGAGGCTTTATGCTCAGACATTTGAATTGTTGAACGCAACATCGGCATTAAACGCATCTTGGCCAATCAAACCGGATAGAAAAAACATGATATAAACACAAAAAGATGTGATAGCATCCGCGGATAAGGGGAAACTACGAATATATATCATAGGCCGGCGTTCAGATTGTTCAATACATCTAGGCAAGTTAATAGACTACCGATATGCTGTCATTCGTAAATCGGCCAGACAGTTGAAAGGTAAAAACGAACCAAAAAGTAGGATAATGGTACTCCCAGTGGACAAAAGAATGACGAAATGCTCACCTGTTGACAAACTTCGCAGTAATCTTGATGATCCGTATCGTAACCTTCTTCTTCACCGATTTTGTCTATCCTGTGAGCGATTACCAGTGGAAATTGAGCAGTTGTCTTATGGTGGCTATGAACACCCTTCCCAGGACCAGATGTTTCTTGATCAAGAAAAACCGACTGTCCAGAAGATATGCTCGTAACAATGCCTGCGGAAGTTCGCCGACTGGATCGTTTCCGTCTATCACGCTCTTCCTCCTGAGCTATTTCAGCTTCCTCTAGCTGACGCTCGAACTCCTCGTCACTAGTATTGTGGCCGCCCAGCAAACGGTCCTAAGGCGCAGCAGGGTAAATGAAAAATATTTAGTCAGAAGGGTGTGATGTGCAAGCAGAAAGTCAAGACATCCACCAGATATATGCATGCGTTTTCCAGAAAGGAGGAACAGCGCAATCACCATGACAGAATATAAAGTAGTCAGATGGCAGAAAAAAGAAAATGAAAAATAAATATCACGCCACGTTTCTATTATAAGTCACTACAAGGTCTTGGTTGCAGAAGGATGCTAAGTGAAGGGAACAAAGCAACTAACCCAAAAACAATTGAGGCCAATTCCACGTCACATCAACAACTGTCTCTAACAAAGCGTGTTCATGGCCTTTCGAATCCAAACCAGAGTCGGGAAGCAATACCCAGGGACAGGCTTGAAAAGGGTCTTTATCGCTTGATCAAGCTATCGGTTGGCCTCCTTTCTATATCCAAACTAATGGTACAAACAAGGAACATAGCGGTGTGCTCGCATGCATAACATATTGCCCAGCATTGCAGATTTTAACTTTAAGGACTAGGATGATGTCCCACCGGCTTCATAAGTGGCGAAGATCAGAAACCTCGCTCGCTCATGTCAAGCGGGGAGCGCGCGGACACCTTGGCTACGCTCTTCTTCACTATATTTTCCAGTAAACCGGCGGTGGTTTCAGTACCGACACAGGTTGCGCCAGTCTTGATCGACAGCCTACAATGTGACGCAGTCGATCAGCTACTCGTCAACCTCGATGGTGCAAAGTTCCCCGGAGCAGACGGACTTCACCCACTAATACTCAAGTCCATATTGACTATCATCTCACCAGCCGTGACAAACCTTGTCAATAAGTCGCTCTCTGAAGGATCTGTCCCAGACGACTGGAAATGCGCGATAGTGAGACCGTTTCCCAAGGGTGGTGATCCGAGTAAACTGGAGAACTATAGACCGATCTGTTTAACTTCGGTATTATCCAAAGTGCTCGGGAAGGTTGTGAAAAAGTGTCTGCTGTCGTTCTTCGAATCGATGGACGTATTGACGCCAGCGCAACACGGCTTTACGAAAGGGTGATCCTGCATCACCAACTTGATGTACGCAAACCACCAGTGGGTACGAGCTCTCAACGAACAGAAGGACGTTGACGTGGTGTACATCGACTTTAGTAAGGCGTTTGACAGACTGAACTACGAGGTACTCCTTCGTAAACTGAACTCATACGGAATCGGTGGCACGTTACTTCAGTGGTTACACGAGTTTATTGTGGGACGAAAGTTTAGAGTGCAGGTCAATGACTACCTGACAGACTGGTTCCCATCGACCAGTGGCGTGACTCAAGGAACTGTACTTATGCCAGTATTATTTCTTATTCATATCAACGATCTTCCGCAGCAGCTCCAGTCACCATGTGCCATGGTTGCAGATGAGTTGAAAATTTGGAGGATCACTGAGAACCAGGACGACTGCGCTCGCCTCCAGCATGACTTAGAGCGACTGTCAACGTGGTCCACTGAAATGTAACTCCCTCTTAACGCAAGCAAGTCGGAGTTCATCAGTAACACCAAACCTCCACCCACTCGACCATATACCTTGGACGGCCAGTTGCTCCATCCCAACACATGTCAGAGACTTAGGAGTTCTCTCACGACATGATTTGAGATCATTAGAAAATACAGAGAAATTGTACCGTGCGGGACTTCGTATGCTCTGGGCATTAGGACGCAGTTTCTCCACATGGTCCGAAGAAACCGTCCCTCGTCTATTCACCTCGTTCATTAGACCAATCCTTGGATACGGTGCCCCAGCTTACCATCCGATAACCCAATGGGAAACTGAAAAGTTAGAGAAAATACAGCATATCGCAACTAGAATGATACCGAGTCTACAAAAGCTTCCGTATGAAAAACGTTGTGAAAGGCTCGGACTCTACACACTATCCTTTCGCCGAGTAAGAACTGACCTTATTATGACTCATCGAGTACTACACTTAAATCACTTCCTCATACTGTGACCAATATTTCACCTGCGGGAACCCTGTAACACCCGATGACGCCGTTACAAACTCAAGGTCACCTGCATGAACAAAGTATCCCATCAGCTTTGTATCAAAGGAAGAATCGTAAACTTATGGAATACACTACCAGAAGGATTAATAGAGACCGATTCTGTGAAGTGTTGTAAAACTCGTGTCGACGATAATTTGGGGAATCTGTGCTTTTGTGAAACGATGCACATACAATGTCAAAAGAAGACATTGTATGCCCGGAAATAACGACACTAGTACAAATTCCTAACAGAACAAGGATAAACGATTAACGGACCAGACATAACTGTTGATGATTCACAACTAAATGTTCTTGATTTTTCGTAATTGGATAGAGTTGCACAGAAACCTTTCTACTTGCTCTTAAATACAGTCTCCGTCTCGTTAACGCATGCGCTGAAATAGCTGCCAAGGTTGTGGCATTTCAGAAGGACTTCCAGTTAGCTCCAACTATGGGTTAGAGAAATGGGTGCTTCCTGCTTATCCTGGAGGAAAGCCTAGCAACTGAAGGGTGCAAAGCGCAGGTCGAAACAATTTACAGTCAGTGCTAGTCAATCAAAAGCTAAATGGCATGTTTGTGAGCCGTCAAAGATTAAAATAATAATTCAGATCAATCATCTGGGAGCAAGTCAACATCTTATAATATCGTGTAATATGCCCATATTTGGTTTATATTGGAAGAAGAAACGCAGGCGGTACGCATAGAGCGAACAATTGTTTTCAATTTATTCACCATCAGGCTTGGTATAGAAATATATATTAAGAAGTGGTGTTCACTCGGGAAACAGAGCAACTAGTTTTAAATGGTTAACGTAACGTGTCATGTGGTCAACTGACTGAAGACGTGTGACACCACTGAGTGAGGCCCGATCCATCTTTGTTAGTGGCTGGCCAGGGTAGTTGTATTGCTTGGACATGCTTCTGCTGAATGCTTAGATTAGGTTTTGTAAACCTGATGCATACCGCTTCAGCGGCAACAAGTAGCCGAGCCCCTGACCGATGGTGTAGTTGCAATGGCACTTGATAGAGGATCTCAAATGACTTGCGCTTATCAATCATATGACTGGTGCAGATCAGATGGTTAGTTATGGCACTTAACTTAGTTTTGACCTGTCGGGTGACGAGCGACGTTGGTAAATGTTCCTTGATTCGCTTTGCTAATTGTCTGGTCGTAGGCCCAGTGTACCTAACCCCACAGGAGCAGGTGAACCGATAGATTACCAATGATTGGCGCTGATCAGGCGTCTTGTCTTTGAATCTAGGAACAAAGAGCGAACTGCTTGTAGAAACGACACTTAGTTGAGTTGCATTAAAGGTCTTTCGGCAAGTCTGTATTGGATAGGGGTATATAGAAAGCCGTACTGGACAGGCCAATACACACACTTCCGGAGTTTTGTGCCAATTAGCCGCAGAAGAACACTGGTACACCCGCTGGCCAATCGCGCACGGAAGATCTGTAGTGAGGACGCTATTGAAGTGGAAATGAAGCGAATCAGGCAAACGCTTCTCGAGAACGGTTATCCAGAACAAGTTATTGACGTTCCTATAAAGCCTAGTAGCCAAAGACTAACAGTACAAACGATAGAGAAGAAACAGCTATTTCTCCAACTTCCCTTTAAGGGTGACATACCGGCTGAGATATGCACACGACGAGTGATACAGACAATCTACCTATCTATCTTGTGTGGCTAGGTACACTGAGCGCAAGATCAGGCACTTGGAAAAGCGAATCAACGTAGATTGGGAATCGGCGAACCACACGCCTCGCAAATAGTCCTACTGACACCAGGCTTTTTGTGGCCAGTGAACTGAATGAACTGGAAGAACTTGCGAGTGTTGCTAGAGAGGGCAGCGGCCTCCATCTCCAAAGTACGCCGAGACCACCAGACCTCACGATCACTGCGTAGGTCATGTCTGAGCTGCCGACTGACAGAAGATCGCACTTAAGATTAGACTCCACTGGGATATTCCTGCGGCGGTCAACTAGATCCAGGGAGCGCGCAATGATCTGTGCCTAGATAGGGCATTGAGTAAGACCAGAGACTAACTGCCCTGAAGAGATCATGGTCCTTTTGCATCAATATCCTGCGGTGGATCGCAAATAAGTGCATCGGCCAGGGAAGATTCATAGTTCTGCCGAACCGAGAGAGTAGATAGTTTATTCGGATCTACGCAACACTTCTACGTTTCCGAGGATCCTCCGAAACGCATGTAGATGTTCGCATAGACAAGAGTGTGGTCTGAGTCAATAAACGTGGACTAGATTGATCTGCAATGCTTTACACTACCTCACCATCTGAAACTGATTGCGATATGATCAATTAGAGACTATGAATGAGACGCGAAAAAGGGTCAGCAAGTAGCGGAACTTCTCCTCGAATGCCGGAAGCTGGTGCTCGGAAAAAAACAAACGATTGTCTTCGCACAGTTTCTCTCCACTATCTGAGCGGCTCTCATCGAGCTCATGGTTACCACCGAGGTGACTTTCGCATAATAGACGATGAACCCTTGTGTTGAAATCCCCAACAAAGACAACAATGTCGACTTTGTAAGCTCTACTCAAGAGCCGGGGAAGTACACGATTGCAGTGGTCCTTGACCGAGCCGCATTTGTAGTCAGTTGGAGCGCAAGCTGAGATCACAAACAAGTTGCGTCTCTCTTCACGACATCTGTTGATTAGACATGATCCCCGCTCAGCTGCCTTGGCTTCCGCTACTCACACACCATTTGTTCACGTGTTGGTATCTCTAAATTGGAGATTGCTGGAGGAAGACCATCTCGTCCAGCGAGCCTATTCAACTTTATCAGTCTGATTACACGTTTGAAAAAGTGGACCAAATGAATGGTCCAGAAAGTACGGAGATAAGTAAGCGGCGAAAAACTAGTAATTCCGGTCGATTAGTTTCCTTTCAAAACTTCCAAGGAGCCTAGCATTCTGGCGAGTGGGAGTAGACTCTCGTAGCATCAAATTCCGTTAACTATAAGTCTCTGGTTTCACATGCCCCGTATGAAACGGAATGGTTTCCAATAGTTACCAAGAGTAGCGGCTGTTGCCATCTCCAACGCGCAACGAGACCACCAGACATCGAAGTCCTTCTTCAGGTTAGCAAGCAATTTT